CACTAAGATCAGTCATTTCTCAAGTACATGCTATACATGTACCCCTCCATGAACCAATACAAGATCATCTCCTTTGGGAGTATGATCACGCAATAGAACAGAAGACATCCCACCATAATATGAGACCGATATTTCTCAAACCCAGTCAAATGTGCCGCTTTGGCGGTCACTACCCAACTGAATCCTTGAAAATCTCTCATACCAGGGATATGAGCTTTATGTATCACATTTACTATATACATGTTATGCCAGACGTAAACACAGGGGCGTATATCTTTGAAATTACATGTCATGCTAATTATATTGCTCCATTCAATGATAGACAATGAATTACACTCTACACAGTCCTTATGTGGTGATATACATGTGAGCTACCATATGCATTTCTGAAACCATAGAGAAATACAAGAAAATACGCAACAATACCCTAAAAATATGCATATATAGGGTTCTATACGTATTTTCACATCTGTAAAAGCTTCAAACATGTAAAATAAATACACCACAATATAGAGAATCTCGATACGAGCGAGTCGGTACGAAGAACGTCCCAAACGGACGTCGGACGCTCCCTCACGCGCCGCCGGAAGCGCGGCTCGTGCGCACGTGTTCAGCCGGTCAAACCAGTCTGAATAGCCGGTCCGACCGGTTGACCGGTCCAACCGGTCCACAGTCAACGTACCGATTCGACTGGTTGACCGATCGGGTCTGGTCGACGATCGGGTCGGGTCAGGATCCGGGTCAAGCCGGATCCGCCCCGCTGACGTCATCCAGCGGTTACCGATGGTTACCGTCGGTTACCGGCAGAAAACGCGCCGGTTCAGCATGGCCGCGTGTGGCCGTCACGCGCCGCCGCCCCCACGGCGCGTGTTGACGCGTGAGGGCGCATGCGGCCTCCTCCGGTGACGTGCCACCCATCAATCTTCTCATCTATATGAGTAGATTCCAAATATGTAATAAAATTTTGGGAAAATTTCAATTAAGGACCCCAAGTGGGGTCAAATTCTCAAAAGATGGCCCAAAGTGAACATAGTGTCAAATAAAGGCCTAAAGTGTCCAATCAGTCTCAAATAAGGACACGCAGTGCCCAAAAAGTCTCAAATAAGGGCACTGGGTCGCCGTAGGCCAAAATGCTGCCGGTCGGCAAGAATGTTCTTTCAGTTCCAAGATCGGAACATTAACTTTTTAATTTTTTTTATTATTTTTTCCTTTCTGTTTTTCCTTTTCTGTTTTTTTTCTTTTCCTTTTCCTTTTCTTTTTTTTTTCTTCTTTTCCTCCGCCGGCCATAGCCGGGCCAGTAGTCGCCGGTCCGGGCGAGGCCGCCACTCGCCGGCGTCGAGCGAGGCCGCCTCGCCGCGTCGGGCGAGCCGCCTCGCCGGCGTCGAGCGAGGCCGCCTCGCCGCGCCGGGCGAGCGCGCCCTCGCCGGCGTCGGGCGAGGCCGCCCTCGCCGGCGTCGGGCGAGGCCGCCCGGCCGGCGTCGAGGGCCGCCCTCGCGCCGGCGTCGGGCGAGGGCCGCCCTCGCCGGCGTCGGGCGAGGGCCGCCACGCCGGCGTCGGGCGAGGCCGCCCCGCCCGGCGTCCGGGCGAGGGCCGCCCTCGCCGGCGTCGGCGAGGCCGCCCTCGCCCGGCGTCGGCGAGGGCCGCCTACGCCCGGCGTCGGCGAGGCGCCGCCCTCGCGGCGTCGGCCGCCGCCCGCCGGCGTCGGGCGAGGCCGCCTCGCCGGCGTCGGGCGAGGGCCGCCTCGCCGGCGTCGGGCGAGGCCGCCCTCGCCCACGGGCGAGGTCGCCCTCGCCAGGTTGCCGGTGAGAGCTCGACCTCGCCGGAGTCGGGCGAGGCTCGACCTCGCCATTGCTGGGCGAGGTCGAGCCTCACCAGATCTGGCGAGGGCTCGACCTCGCAGGCGTCGGGCGAGGCCGGCCTTGCCGTTGCAGACGGGACAGGCCCTCGCCGCGACGCCGCCGTCGAGGTCGAGCCTCGCCAGGTCCTCGGCGAGGCTCGACCTCGCCGGCTGTCGGCGAGGCCGGCCTTGCCGTCAGTGCGAGACACGCCCTCGCCGCGACGCAAGAGGTCGGGGCCTCGCCGGCGGCCGGCTGAGGTCGAGCCTTGCCGGCGGGGGCCGAGCCCTCGCCGGCAACCGGGCGAGGCCGACCTCGCCCGATTCCCGGGCGAGGCGGACCTCGCCCGGCCTCGACGAGGCGGCCCCTCGCCCGGCCGCCGGCGAGGGCACTCGCTTCCCGACCCACGGAAGAGAAGAAAAAAAAGAAAAGGAAAAGGAAAAGGAAAAGAAAAAAAAACATAAAAGGAAAAACATAAAGGAAAAAATAATAATAAAAATAAATAAGTTATTGTTCCGGTGACGGAATAGTAACATTCTCGCCGGCCGGTGGGTATTTTGGTCTGCCGGCGACCCAGGCCCTTATTTGAGACTTTTTGGGCACTCCGGGTCCTTATTTGAGACTGATTGGGTACTTCATACCCTTATTTGACACTATATTCACTTTGGGCCCTCTTTTGAAAATTTAACCCCACTTGGGGTCCTTAATTGAAATTTTCCCTAAAATTTTACATTCATCGGACAAAAAATTCCTAAAATAGGTAAAAACCTCTCGGACATAACGAAAACAGTCATAATCCGCATGTTTCAGTTCTAATCTATGGCAGGCTCTGATACCACATGTTGGCCACGAAAATGGCACGCCCAGGATCACCATAATCAGAAACAGAAACACGTTAATGGAGAAATTATCGATTTGCGTACCTGATTTGGAATCCATCGAATTTGACGCAAAATTTGCGACGATTTTCGAACACGAACTCAAGTGCTTCTCCCTTATACCCTTCGTTAGAACACTGGCCTAATGAGATTGCCACTCACGAGAAGAAAGTTCTCTCTAGATCCGTATGTGAGTCAGATTGTGCATCATCTGGTTAGGGGAGGAACTTGAGCGCTATTTATAGAGTCTTCGACCACGGGCCTTCTCATTACGGGCCGGGCCGTACTCGACCCACACTAGCCAGCCCCATATTAGACTTATTAAGAACCCACATATTTCACCTTTATTAGACCAAACTAATTCAATTAATTTCAATTAATGAAGCCCACATTATGACATTCTTACAATGGGTGCATACAATTTGTTGGCGGTAGCCGTGATAAAAATAGATAGACAATAGAATAGAAAGATACTAATGAGGTTCGGGTTTTTTCATGGTTAAGGTCAATAGGTAACATAATTTGCATGTGGTCGATTGGAAAAGTATAGAGAATGACTGGCACCTAAGTGGTTTGCAGTCAATGGTCGCTGCAAGGGCACCAACTAATGAACTTGCTCTTTTTATAACTTTTCCGATAAGCTTTTTTCAAAAATATCATCAGAGTACTCGTTAAACATACTAAATAAGAAATTATTCGATTTTCAAAATATTAATTACGCATATCTTGAAAACAGTTAACATATTGAAAATTACAACATTTCTTTATTTGATTACCGAATAAACTCTCCGAAATACTTTCTTTTCGCAAATTATACACAAATCTCTTGCAAAAAAAAGAAGAAAGCCATCCAGAAGCCACACTTAGTGGGAAACGCACCGCCGGCAGACAAAAACCAACACACAGCCGTCCTACTACGTTGTAGGGTTGGTTCTTTAAACATAGCTTAAGCTCTTGTCTGTTAAAAAGAAAGAAACACTCGGATTCAAGCTATATAAATAAATATTTCATAAGCATATTCAAACGATCATCATGTTGGGCTGGTCTTCTACTAATCATTCAGTAACATGAGCGGCCAAATGATTGCTGTAAAAGCTAGATTCCATGATCAACTGGTAAATTTTCTAAATTTTAAAACGCTCTCGGTGTTGAGGATTTTTTTTATATTTCACAATAAAAAATTAATTTTCTTTTAGCAATGTGAGATTACTTTAACTAAATGCGATTAACTTTCTTCGCAGTGTGAGATACTTTTCTTGTAGGACACTCTCCGAGTCAATAAATAGTATTTTATTAATGAGTATCTTCGAAAACGTTTGTTAAATAATTATTCTTTTTGCAGTACATGCATTGAATTCTTTAAAATATGGAATATTTCGTATTAAATATACTTAACAAGCGTAACGAAAGCATCGGCCTATAACAATCCTAAGATTAGGCTGATATTGAAGCCACGAGCGCCGGCCTCTCCTATAATTATTAATGAGTTGAATTTCGCTTGTGTTGCTTCCCGTGTTGTTTCTCGGTTTCTTCCTTTTGGGAAACTTTTTGACGAGCGTGCTTTGTGTAGCAAGTTGTATTCCGATCTTTAGATTTTATGAAATCCACGTATGACCCACATGAGACCTACCGACTCTAACGGTCCATATAGAGTTTATAAATACATACATACGTATATATACATACATGCTCCTTCCTTTTCTCTAGCGTACTCTTTGTCTACTCAAAATGGAGTTTACACTAGTCAACAGTCATCATCAATAGTAACCACAAGTTGGACTTCATCCCTTCATACCAGCAAGTCTAGTACAGTCCAGTCAAATCGAGTTCAACTGTCAAAAAGGCTTATCAAGCTCTTGATTCCCCCCGTAGCAGCAACATGAAGACCGTGGAAATTGAATCCTTTCCATTTGTGATACTTCATAAGGATCGGAGTTCATTTGTATTCGCCTCAATCTAGACTCTCGAGATCTTCGCACCTGACTTCGAAAAATAAGCGGGCGGCTTCGCAACGAAAATCGCTCGATTATCCCCCTTTATCGGAAGTACTTAATTGAATTTTTAAGGGACATGGAACGGTGCGTGCAAATTATTATAGTGAATCATCGTCATGTTATTCCCTTTAACCCGATTGATCCGGCTCGCCGGAAATGCGAACAAATACAAGTTTTTGTCTTTAAGAAGGTATATTTTTTTGCTCACTTACGATGCTATGTAATAGGGTCACTAGAGCACAAGTGATGACCTACAGCGATAGCTGATTAGGCCAAAGAATGAAAAACTCAACTTTGCGGGAACGAAATCTCTTAATTCCCTTATGATCACGCTATCAATATACATCACCCGTCTTTTTAGGTGCACAAACTAGGGGACTAAGATGACTTAAAAACCAGTCAAATCAAGGATAGCCCAAAACTCCAAGCTAAAGATAGAAACTGATGATGCTGTGCAATTGTTTATAGAGAAATCAACCATCCGGGATAATGTTTTTGTTTTTCGAGATCATTGTTTGTATTGTTTAAAAGAATCAGTCAACGAAAAAAGAATTTTCGTTCATCTAATTCTGTAAGCAATACAAGCAATCATTTTTAGGAAAACATTTCCCAAATCGTTGATTTTCCTTGCAACAAATGCCTTCTAAAAAAATAAAAATCTTATTTAAATGTTCAGGATAGCTATAGATTCCCCGACGCGAAGGAGTCAAGAAAGTTGACCCAATTATCGTCCTCATCTTCTTCTTCGTCCTCCCCGCCAGCTTCGTGGCTCCACGGGAGCTGATCGCACTTGTCGATCTCATCATTCCTCGCGAACCGCCCCCGGATACGCGGCCGGCTGTCCGCTAGGGTTTTCCTGCAGGCATACTGATTGCACAGAGAGTGTTAAACTAAAATTATCATTAGTATGCTGAGATTCATTTACGTTTTAAGTATTCGAGATATCTAATGCTAAACAAGATTAATCAAATCACGTTCAAAGAAAAAAGAAAATAAAGCAAACATGGGTTCGTCCCGTCTTTTCTAGTAGGCCCAGAAATGCTATCATGCAGGCATGTTAAACAGTTCAAAGACTTTCCATCAAAATTTCCTCTCATTTCTCAGTACATAATTCAAAATGATATCGATTATCACTTTGAAACCTTATTATATACATCACATGATGCAACGCAGAAAGATTCAATACAGCAATTAAGCAGCAATAACTACGCCACTGCCATTAACTCATCACCACATGTCTTAGTCAAGAGAACAAAAGATTATCAAAATGAAATCGAGGGCTTCAAAGAAAAAAAGCAAGCAAGCAAAGACCTTGATCTTCTTGTTGAAGTTCCTCTGGTTCCTCTTGCTCCTGTATCTCTCGATCCTCTCTTTCTTCTCCTCGGGGCTGTATCGGCAAGCCCTGCTCATCCCTTCAATGATCATGTTGCTCTCGCTCATTAATGGGCTCTCTGATCTCTGCTTGTGTTGCAGCCCATTAACTCTCTGTCGCCACCAACCCCAAAAGATATAAATGAACGAAACAGAGATCTCGAAACAAGAAGAAAAAGGGGAAGAAGCCAAGATCTGTCGCGCCGCATTCATGAATCAAGAAACAATATCGCTAGATTCGCCGAAAGATAGTGTCAATTGATGGACGAAGATCTTGTGTGTCGTCTTCCTATTGAGACATGATGAAAGATAGATTTTTTGTCTTGCTCGTGTTATGCGAAATCAGTGCGTTGGAAATGAGAATATTTTCCCATAAAGTATGACTAACAAATATCTCGGAAGCACCCGTTAACACAATCATGATGGGTTAAAATTTTGATGCAAGTTGAAGAGAAATAATTTAGAAATTGATGGGACAAATTTAAATATTCAACCCTAGACAGATATTTATGCTGTATTTGTCCAAAGGAACATAGTCGTCGACCCGTTTGATGACGAGCCCACTAAAAGGACACAGCGCGGGCTTAATGGCTTGAAAACTCAACGCCTTACCTGCAAATCGCCGGTACTGTAAACTCGCCTCACCGGACTCGTTTCTGACTCGGCCAACTCGAGAGCACTCACGGCGAGCGGACTGTAATGATAGTAACCCCCGTCTTTTCTCTGCAGCGACACGCTGCTGATGCTCCTCTGGAACAAGCTCGGTCCCGACCGCGTCTCGGCGCTCGGGAACGAGCTCGGCGAGCTGTAACAGCTGCTGCCCCCGCTGCTGCTGGTGCCGCTGTGCGAGACGTCTGGGTAGTGGCACGGCGGCTTCACCGAGTCGAACTCGGCGATCGCGGCTAGCGGGTCGGGGTTGGGGATGGTCAAGAGGGGCAGGGGGAGCAGCGACGGGAAAGACGACCTGGCAGCCACGTCGGACGTCGAGTAGGGGCATTGAGTGTCGGCGTGTGCGTACGTGCCGCTGTACATGGCGCGACGTCGTTTTTTGCGGTCGCTCGCCTGTAAATTTTGTCGTTGGATTGAAGCGAGCAGGTGATGGGATTGAATGGGAAAGAGCAAGGGAGGGCTGCTTATATAAGCACATTGTTACTTTGGAGCGAGTGACGTGGGTGATGACGTCACGTGGCTGGGAGGAGCGTTGACCTAATTTTTCGGGAGCGGATCGGATGGCCCACTGTCCATGTGAGTTGGGCCCTCCGCTCCACTCCGACGCCCTCCACATGTCGAACGACCCCGAACATCCTACGACGATAACTAGGATGCTGCGTAGGTTCGATGATTATGGTCTTGTTGTGTTGTATCGTGGCGGGTTATGTTGTGTCGCGTTTAGAGAAGATGAGGGCGTACTCCCATCATTCGATACCATCCGTCGACACCATTTCATATAATTTCAGTTGAGTGCGACATGTTCGTAATGAAAACATATACACATAATTACTATCAAAATAACATCTCAAGTTATCATCCTCGCCATCGCATCATCATTTCTTCAAAGGTGGAGGCACGGCGACGACATCTAGAGGGAAATCGACCGCGATCGCGGCGAGAGCATCGCCAACCAGTGGTGGCAAATGGCGGGGGAGAAAGGCAATTAGGAGAAGGAGGAGGAGTGAGGCTAGGGTTTTTTTTCCTATTGAGGTGAATGATGGGCAGGCAACGATTGGTCATGTTGAACGAGAACATCATCATGTGTCAAGACTAATCAATGTACTATATATTTAGCATTTAGCAACACAATGTGCTCTAACAATCGATTTTTTTTTTTTTTGGTTTACAACAAGCCAGTAGATTACCATAAAGTGGTGGTACAACCAATAAATATTCATGTGAAAATGCACCAAAGAGATTAGTTCACTACCTAGGTTCCTATAGAGATGTCATATATGGCCTAAAGAACACTATGAACTTGATTAAACTAACTTAGTTTATCTCATTGGAAGGTGACGATGACAAATGATTAAAATCTTGTGGTAAATTTTTGAGAGAACCATCGAATGCAAAATGCAAAATCCAGAATGTCTTGGGTGTTCAAGTGTTGTACTCAAAGATGGTTTTCACCCTACGGATTTCGCAGAAGGTAAGGCGTGATTACTCTCCGGAATTCAACAAATTCTCCAGATAATTACACTTCAATTTTTATTCGTAATAGGAATTGCGAAATCGTAAGAAACCCACATAGAAGAGAGGGAGGAAGTATTTCGTGGACCATTTTCATGTATCTGCAATAATGAACAAGATTATGAGAATTCAAAGGCGAGCCGGCGAGCTAGCAGATTAAATCTCACAATACTTAGTTCGACTGTGACTGAATGTACCAATGGCTAGGTAATCAAAATTCTAACAGCTAGTTTGTCCATCCAAAAATATGAAAATAAGAGGTTTTAAAGATAGGGAGATTTGATTTTGCTCGTCAAACTAAACGCAGAGGCAGGTGAAATTCGACTTTACACTTTGTTTAGACCAAGCTGGTGAGCACAACACCAACACATTTTTCTTGTTATTATCAAGCTGAAAAAAAAAGCACCCATTAATAAATTGAAGCTTTCTAAATAAAGCGGCATAAGAAAAAACATGAAAAATAAACATTGAAATACTTTTCCACAACAAATCTATGGAATGATGCCATATTCAAGTGACCATATTCCTTGCTCAATGTGTTTTGATTTACATATTTCATCTCATTTCCTTTTTTTTTTCTTCGTACAACGACGTTCACTTGAATTGTTTCTGATTTCACGGCATTGGGATAAAAGGCCCCATAAAATATTCGTGAACAGGAGACTTGTCTTGATGAGCACTGACGAACCAATTGGGCAAGTTTCAGTAGCAGGCACAATAGTCAAAGTTGAAGTAACAAGACATGGCGCTTTTCCAACGTGTTTCTATGAATCTCTCTCTCTCTCTCTCTCTTTTCTTTTTGCAATTTTTTCCTCTGCTGAAAAGAATTATTGCAGCAAAGATACCGAATCGTGCCCAACTTGCATTCGACAACAATATGAAAAACAAAAGCCCCACCACTTACTCAAATTCGTGTGTTAGAGAGTGAGAGAGAGAGAGAGAGAGAGAGAGAGAGAGAGAGAGAGAGAGAGAGGGAGGGAGGGACTAAAAGGTATGTTGCTTGATGCCAATGCCCATGTGAAGAGCATATGTTTTTCCCAATCATTTGTGTAGAAAAGGAGCAAGATTAGTAACCCTAATCATGATCCTATAGCGACTTGGTTAATCCCTACAGAGGAACGTACGATAGGCAAATGTATAGCCTCTTTTGAAAATTATAATTCACGATGGATACGGGAAAAGCCCTCAAATAATTTTTTTGAAAAAATGGATAAGACCAACGAACTATACTCCTCGAGAAAGATCGAGATATTCGTTTTGTGTTAGGAGTAACCCATTATATTGCATGATTGCATCTTAATATATATTTTGGTATTTGTTCATCGATGTGCACAAATTTAATTGCGTTTATCAAATAAATTTTTTAGATTGGATCACTTCAATCGAAAATGTTATGACTCGACCGCATCATGTATATAATTTTTAGGACTTTTGGCTAGCTTTTTATCGAAAACTAATGAGTCGCGACCGATCTATACTGCCGGCAGCCCTTTGATGACGAACATGGGATGACATAAGTGTTCCACACGGAACATTATTGACTTCTCTCAACAATTTCTCTTTGGTGGATTTATATATCCGAAAGGGACTAGCTACATGGCTAGTACAAGCATTAAAGGGGAATAACGAAGTGAATTGCCCGCCTCCAATCTTTTTCATGATAATGAGCTCCTTGAATTACTTTTTATATGATCTTGACTTGATCGATGCGTTGCACGATGCCATTACAGGATGAAGCCTCCCCATGAAGAAGCGAAGGAGTAAAGTGTGAGGGGACCCCAAGAGCAAAGACACCTCCCAAGTGGGTCTCCCAAGAATCGTCTGCATCACTCAAAAAGAAGAGGATCTCTCGATTTCATAAACTACAAATCTCTCTCTCCTTCTCTCTCTCTCCACACACTGGGACTCAATCGATGGTGAGGAAGACTATGTGCACAGAGCAACTGAACTCTCGACGAAGCTCAGACGTTTCGGTCGTCGGTTGGTCATTGGCTTGCGTTGACGGGTGCGAGCCAATGGGTCACCATCTTTTAAGTTTTCACGTTCTGTTTAGTACTTGGACTTGAACCATGGACGCAGATGTTACACAGTGCCGATTTACCAACTTGATGTACCCCTTGTCTCCAGGAGCACTGTTTGGTGATGTGCCCTTTCGAGAGGATTTACTCCCATACAGTGCATGCAATTATCTTTGATTGACAAAAAGGGTAGGGACGGACAATCAGCGAAGCCACTCGATTTGAGCCTCATCACAAAGAGTATGAAACCCGTTACATATGGAATATTTGAGGCAGCGATGACAACTGCCAAACAAAGTGTTTGATTCTGTTCTTTTGTTCCTGAATCCGGTTTGGGAGCAAATGCGTTTGTTTAATTTTTTGATTCTGGGCACAATTTTGTCAAAAATTGTTCCCGAATCGATTTTGAGCAGAATCAAGAATAAAAAAAGTAGCTTCTTGATTCTCGGGAACAATTTTGAGAATCAATTTTTTTCTTCTTCCTTTTATTGGTTTTTAATTTAGCTTCTAATGTCCGGCCGAACCACCTCTCCGGATCGTCGAGAATAAAATATTTTAATAAAAATATTTTATCGGCCATGGACACAAGTGCCATAGCCATAAAAAAAGAAAAATATATATTTTTAATAAAAAAATTATTAATAAAAAAATATTTTACTGCCATGGCCTGTGACCAGGCCATGGCAAAAAAAGAAAAAATATATATTTTTAATAAAAAAATTTTAATAAAAAAATTTATTAATAAAAAAAATATTTTACCGGCCATGGCCAGCGACCAGGCCATGCCAAAAAAAATAAAAATGTATATTTTTAAATAAAATATTTTAATAAAAAAATTATTAATAAAAAAAAATATTTTACCGGCCATGGCCAGCGATCGAACCATGGCAAAAAAAAAAAAAAATATATTTTAATAAAAAAATATTTTACCAGCCATGGCCGGCGACCAGGCCATGGCCAAACAAAATAAAAATGTATATTTTTAATAAAAATATTTATTAATAAAAAAATATTTTACCGGTCATGGCCGTACTAGGCCATGGCCCAAAAAAATAAAAATGTATATTTTTAATAAAAATATTTATTAATAAAAAATATTTTACGGTCATGGCCGCGACTAGGCCATAGCCAAAAAAAAAAAAAATACTTTTAATAAAAATATTATTAATAAAAAAATATTTTACCGGTCATGGTCAAGCGAGCAGGCTATGGCCAAGAAGGAGGAAAAGAAAAAAAGAAAAGAAAAAAAGAAAAAAATATCAAAATATTTAAAAATATTATTAATAAAAAGAAATTTTGTGGCGTTATCAAACGCATTTACATTCTTTTTCTATTCCAGGGGATGGAATTTTGGGCCGTTAACAAACGCCTTAAAATGCTCGGAATCAATTCCGCAGAATCAAAAAGAATCATTTCGAAAGCAGAATCATTAAGCACAAATCGTTGTCATGCGCAGCCTTAGTGTTTGAACCCTAATTACTTAGTGTATACCGGCAACCCAAAAGTACAACACGGACGAGCCCATTGCTGCAACCGCCCACATGTTAGAATTCAGGAAGTCTTTCTGCACGATTGAGATGTAGGTGATACCTAATGGACAAGCTGGCTAGATGTTCATTCACGACATTGCTTAGTGGCCCTTTATAATTGGACTACCCTGCTCATACGGTACGATACATGTTATTCAATGACGAGTGAAAGGCAGCAAAAACAATCTTGACCAAAAAAAAAAAAAAAGGGCAGCAAAAACAAAAGCGAGTGCGTAGGCGTTGGATTATTGAGATAGACTAAAGATTTCACAAAATAGAAGAGAACACGAGCTGTATAATCCAAGCAAATGCACACTAATCTTCGTCGAGTGTCAAGATATATGTGTAATGGTAAGATAAAATTATATAAC